TGCAGCTTAACGGATTCACTTACGAGCGGATCGCACGATATGTTACGCACCGATTTTCGTGAAACTTTCTGTAGGAGAGAGATGAACTTTAAGCCATGTAAAGTTTTACACACAGATAATCAATTGTTCACGGGGTATTTACAATAAGAATAACATTTGGCCAAATGATGGGTACAGTCTCCTCTATTTTACAGATCTTTTGAAAAAAATACTTGCGCAGTGAAATAGTAGTAGATAGTTTCTTCCATTAAAAACTTGTTTTTAAACAGAGAAGGTAACATTAAATAATTCGACTACGGATATTTATGTACTTATAGCATCTCGTAACTTGCAAAATGTAGTCACATGAAAATTTTTGAAAATCTCAAGTATAAAAAATGAAAGAATTCATCGAATTATCATGTTTATAAATTAATGTTTAGAATTGTCAATTTACGTAAACATCCACAGTCTGCTTATAGTTTATTTCACACTTTAAGTTAACATTAGCTTTCTACGCGTATATTTACAAGTGGTATGCTTCAAGATTAAGACCAAAAAAGGAGTATTCTGTGATAGTCATTAGACAGCAGTTTGCAACGCATATAAACACTCTACGGTTATTCGGACGAAAATAAAATAGAAAATCACATTAATTTTTGCTAACGTGTTTAATTCATTGTGTTTCACTTATTTGAGTTTCACCTAAATACATAAAATCCACAGTCTAGTTGTACGTACTAAAAAATTATTAAATAAATATTTAAAAGATATTTATTTGAATGTAAAATAATTCACTTCGACATGTCACTTTCTATATAAAAACATATTTTACGACAAAAGTTTTTCCCTCCATAGAAATCGAACTCTAGCCGCTGACGCACGAAGCTACTATCGTTGCCACTGTGCCCCAGTCTTTCTTGAGATCAGCGAAGATAAAGAGACTTTATCCGTTACATGGTCAAATACGATATCTGTTGTTAAATATCTCGTAAATTACTATGTAAAGTGGCTCAATCTATGACTCTACATGACTCATAATCTATCTGTCCACTACGTTTCCGCAAAGTTTTATGAAAATCGGTGCGTAACAGATTGCGCGATCCTCTTGTTAGAACGCGAAGCGTCCATATGGAGCCTGTTCGGAGAGAATGAAGTCGGAGCGCGCGATCGAAGAAAATTCCCCGGACGCAAGAATCTCGCGTTGAGGAGCACTGATCTGCAGTGTATATCGTGGTACTAGCCGGGACGGTGGGGATGGAGGTGAAGGGTGTAAGAGGAGGACGCGGAGGGGCTCAAGGCCGGTCACGCTGTCAGGCCAGAAAGCCTGCGCGCCGAAATATCAACATGACTGTCCAACTCGGTTAGCCTCCGCTTGCTGCTCCGATTACCTCTCCGCGTTCTTCGAGGCGCGCGTCTGCCTCTCGTCTGTCTCGCGTCCACGTCGCGATTCAGGAAATTATGAGCAATTCCAAGGATATTTTTGACCGGCGAACAGGCAAAGTGGATAGAAAGAGGTGACAGAAGGAATTGAAAGGAGATTCACGAAAATCGAATAGAAAGAGAGCCAGCAGAGAGTGAGAGAGTAAGTGAGAGAGTGAGTGAGTGAGTGAGTGAGTGAGTGAGTGTGTGTGTGTGTGTGTGTGTGTGTGTGTGTGTGTGTGTGTGAGAGAGAGAGAGAGAGAGAAGGTGGTAGAGTTTCGGACAGGTGGTAGAAGCACGGAGGCTGACAGCTGATAGTCGGTGACTCTGGCTATCGGGGGAGGTTACGAAACTCGTTACCACGAGAAAGGCTACGACACGGTCTTGCGGGAAAGAAGCGGACTACACGTCGGTGTGCGGGAGAGCGTGCGTGCGCGAGTCCCTCCGCGACTCGCAGTCGAGAAAGAGAAAGATGAAGAAGGACATGTAGAGACAAAAGGGAGAGACGCCGAAAGCTGAGAAAGATTCGGCTGATCGTGGATCGATCGAGTTCCCCGTAGCGACGCGAAATTCCTCGACGGGTCTGGCTATTGGTCTATCGGGAATCGTGGGTAATCGATTAAAAAAACGGGAAACGGTTTTCTATCGGTGAAGAAATTCGTTCGGAGAAAAAGGAGTGGAAACAAAAAATGAGGGAGAGGCGAAAAGGGAAGGGAGTGGTAGAGGAACGACGGAGAGAGGAAGAGAAGGATGGAAGGAAAGGGGGATAACGTGGAAAAGGAGGAGCGAGCGAGTCGAGGGGTCATCGGGAAACATAACCTCTGTACGCTCGATGTTCGACTACTTTAGGTCAGAGATTTTTCCACATTCTTCTTGTTTCTTACTGTACACTTCCGCGTGCAGTGATCCTTACCTTATGTTCCGTGTGTTCGAAGTACTGGAGTTTCGTGGGCAACACTTATCCGCTGATTCAGCGTTGAAACGCAGCGTCTGGGACTCGACGGACACACTTGACAGTTTTCCACGATGATGTACGTCGGTGATAGAGTTTTTTCATTGGCACACGAAGCCAGCCAGACAGGCCGATAGATCACAACACTATCGACACTCAATACGCGACACTTAGGTAGACTCGCGATCGGGCGTCTTCGGACGAAGTAACAGGCACCCGAAAGAGCTTGGCACACCTTCGCGTCACGTTACAACGAGTTACAAGCCACGGGCAGCTACAGGCACGGGCTACCTCGGACTCTCTGTCTCCGTCTCCGTCTCCGCTGTTGACTGGTGGCTACCTCACACCACAACCTCGTCTCGTACCTGTGTCTCTCTTTCTCTCTTTTTCTCTTTCTACGCTCGTGCACAGAGCCACTGCCGTTAGTACAGTGCATCGCCACCAGATGGTCCAAGCTGTCGCGCCTCTGTCTATATACATCACGCTCAAAAGTTTCGAACACCATTCCCCTCTTTTAAAAAAAACTTCCTTTCCTCGGGAATGTTTGAGACTTCAAAGGAGTTATCGTTCAAGTACGTAATCGAGTATATTATTATTCTAAAGTCTAGATTGCTTTATGATAATATAGAAATGATTTTGAGATTTCTTTTTACTTTTTCAAGTACATAATGCTCAGGTCGTTTATGGTATGTACATACATGCAAACGAGCCAAGCACAGCGAAACAGGAGACTCGGCAAGAGATTGGAAAGTTTTTGTTAAATTTTAGACTTATTGGATTCCTTAAGGGACAATATATTTGTACTTGATTATTAGTTTGGCAAAACAGTTTGCAAAGGGAAATACGTAAACTTTTACTGTTTATTTAAAATTAGAGGCACGTGGAAGACTAGGCCATGTTTTTATTTGTATTATTTTGACTCGTAAATCCGTGGATATTACAAATAATTTCGAACTTTTCAGCAGATTTAAAAAACTGTCTAGGCAATTTTTACGATACCAGTATAATTTTCGTTGTAAATCATATTTCAGTACCTTACTGTTCGAAAAATGGAATTTTTTAACGGAAAAAGGGAAAGGACTGAAGGATTTTTTATATTTTAAGTTAATACTTGTAACCAGATTACAAATTTTATGCATTTGTAGCATATGCAAATAAGTCAAACACTGTTAAACAATAACTTCGATATATAAAGTTAATAATTTTTTATTTAACGAACACTTACATAGTAAAATACATATCTCTCATCGATTCTTATATACAAAATACTCTACGAATGAAACGCACGAGAAAATACATTACCTTTCACGTTATATTTTTTCGATAAATTATATGTACTGCATATGGTCCGAAATTTTTTAGCTATGCTGTAATTTCTTTTCATTACAAAAAATGTTTACGTAGTAGAAAAGTTTCATTCATCTAAAAAACGAACGGTATTTCAAACTATGGATTTCTATCCATTAGGTGTACGCAAAAATTATATCCGCTGCATTCAAGTATTGCAGTTTTATATTATTTTATCAACATAGAATTCAGCTTTCGAACGAAAAATGATAAAACGTGATAGACAGTGACTTTGAACCAGAGCAAGTGATACTACAGCAATTGTGAAAATTAATAAAGATTTTTAACAGAGAATGGTCGTTACTTTTGCATATACCGAATGCTGTAACAACGCCGAACAAAACACATTCGAAATTATCGTTGAAAAATAAAAAAAAATGAAGAAAAATATCATTGTAAGATTAATACACATTTAACAATTAAATGTTTCTTACCTTTAGGGATGCTCAGGCTACAACTTTGCTCGTAGGCATTCAGTGTTTTCACCCTTTCGAAATACATACGTCGTAGAAAAGGATTAGAGAATGGGGATGTACATTATGTATTATAGTTTTATGTAAATGTAGTAATAATGAATTCCTCGATTTCACAGGAATAAGGAGATACCAGTGAATTTTTGGGAAAAATAGATACATAGTTAAATGAGAATGCGACCGATCGATCGCGATCGCGGCACGGGGCTTGGTTGATACTGGCATAAGTCAGGTAAACGTAAATCATCATGGTTCAATGCTCGAGACTGACCGGGGTCGCCGAAGCATTTTGCTTTAGCTCCGCTTGACAGCGATTGGCATCTATAATTCTCGACGGCGCGGCAAAAAAGTCGCGGAATGCGTTTGATTCGAACCCGTTTGAACGCGTTTCAGGAAACGTGAGCCTAGTCCTTTCCACCGTGACGATCATATCGATTCGATCGTTCTTGCCGCGTGATTCGGACAATTACGATTGCATTTTTTCGTACAATAACGGCCACCGTGGGAAACCGACGTAGAAAAAAAAAGAAATGACCGAGATCACGATTTTCTGTTACTGAAAATGTAACAAAGTTTTTGGTTCGTGGAAGTGTTAAAAATTCCAAAAACACATCGAAAAAATATATATAAAAAAAAACAAAGGCGATGCGCACCTGTTAGTTTCAGTCCATTATGTAGGGATCAATAGGATAACGGGTTAATTCCCATTTTTCAATTGTCCTGTACCGCGATAGCGGTTAACCATGTTGTATTTGCATCGGAATGTTCCTCTTTTATTTTCCAATAGATACACAAACGTAGAAACTCGGAACAATTCGTAACGGGAGACAGTGAACCCCGCGGGCGGTTGAACCGTGCGCGTGGCTTTATAACAGAAACGTGATCACTGAATGGCGTACATTTTATTAATTATTCTTATGTATGTACATGTGGTCACATTTGCGTGTATGCACGTAACCCGGTAGTCGGAGTATTGTAAATAGACGAAACCACTGTGGTTACAATTCTTTGAAAAATAACGCGCCCACGATACAGCCGGACAGATGAAATTTCTGAACAGTTAATTGGATCTCTCTCCCCCTTCCACAACCTGTTGCTAACCGGTAACGTTCAATTCGTTCAACAATATTCCCAACAAGTTAATAAATTTGATTACTGTCACAACCATTCCGCTGTTAATAGCGTTTTACCGTCACCGGCGTGTATATTAACTCGACAGTTTTTCCACTTAGCGGCAAGGGCACTTCTTGCGCGTACGGTTACATCTATAGCGAAACGCGTCGGGTTCTAGTTGCAACGGCAGTAAATCTAACTACGATAAACGCAATGGTATCGCCGAGCGGCGTGGATGCGTCGCGCCAGTCCGGCCGCCATTTTGTCCCCCATTGTGGGCCCTACCGAGGCACGAGCGTCAGGTACCTGCAATTAGCGGGTGGATAATCAAACCGTTCAGACGTGTCTGAACATCCGACGAGGAGTCGAAACCAGTTCAAGACATACATCTGTCATGACGAGGCGTTCGATCTGAAGGTCGTTTCTAACCAGTCTGATGTTGTTTCGAACTCCAAATCGGCCTAATAACGTTGCAAATTCAAAACTTGCTTGATAACATTGCAAAGTCCAAACTTTCGAGTCGCTGAGAAGCTGCAAAAAGCGCTGAAATGTTCCAAACTTCCAGAAGTTCGAGTCGCGAATGTACATATTATCAATAAGTACAGTAAATTATCGATAAATGCTCGCAAGGGCTACATGTGAAATACTTGTACGTCGTCTCTACTATTTGGTGGGTCCTTATTGAAACTACTCAATCCAGTAATGTAACACGCCAATGGCTTAAAATTGTCAGCTAAAGAAAAGAAGGTTAAAAGCTTGTGTATCGATGAGACAACACTAATGTTGGGATGATACTCTTTTATTTCTGGTTCTTTGTTAACGAAAATTTTATTAAGGTATTGGTGAGATTTTTGTTTTATTAAAATGGGATTAAACACAATATTTGGAAATAACCATTTTGATAAATTACAAACGATCCAATTTATATCATGTGAGGGCTGTGCAGCCTTTGATATCTCACCATTTCGGGTCGCTTGGTCGATTTCTTTCGCTGGCTCGAGCGGCTTGAAATTTAGAATGATTCATCATTATTTTGTTTGACATGTTCTCAGCAGCTCGTGAATTTTGTGTTTGCAACGCCATCCAACTGTTTCGAAGTCATCTTCAGTTCGAAGTTCACCCTTGCCGTGATCTGAGTCAGCTGGAACCTTTACCGGCCCGGTTCAGGCTACGCCTGATTAGATGTTGCACAGCGACAACATAGTTGTTGCTCGATCGTTCGACGAACATAACAATAATCAAACAGAGCCTATTTTATGGTCAGGTCCAAATTGACAACGCGTGCGATGCGGCAACGTCGTATTTGTCGACCGCATGATTTGAGATTGAAACCAATTTGTTCTTTGTCGCATCGCATGCAAGACGTCTATAACAGCAATGTATAATGTCGCGGAGTTACTGATTTTTGAAGTGTAAAAAATGCCTGTGTTATGGAATAAATGGATACATTATTAATTCATTAATTATAAATTATAAATTATTAATTGTCATTTTCTTTTTTACTAAAATATAAAACTAACCGTTAGTCGGTTGCAAATAGTACTCGACGGCCTAACCATGTATGAAGTCTGTCGCATTGTCGTACGAACGACCAACTTAGGTTGGTTGGAGGACAATGGTTTTGTTGCTGTACGACATTTAATTAGGATGTAGCCTCATACGAGCAGTCGTCAATTTTCTCTTAACGTTCGCGTTTATAGGCGTATAATAACTAGACCGAGCGTTCTCAATATCTTCTATAGTTAGACCGTGTTAAAAATTAAAAAGAGTTAGCTGCTGTACGGTCACTAATCTGTTTTTTTCTAACGAGGCGTGGTACGATGAAGAAGTTGCTTAGGCAAGAGAGAAGAGATTCAGAGAAGAGATTAGTCTAGTTATTATACGGCTATGTTCGGGGTCAAGATGCACCCGCGCGTTTGTTTTAACCATAGACATAGAAAAATATAGACTGCGCATCTCTCTGAAACAGGCGTCACAAGTTTAGAAAGATGTAGATAGCTTTCAGAGAAGTTGGTATCTCTTCTTAAATGTAAGTACTGGGGATGAGGTTCTGAGGATCTGCGTTTTGAATGGTTGACTCAGCTATATTAGAAAGAGATGGCAAGTCCTCCGAAAGTAACCCGTCTCTTTTTCAAGTTGGGACGCCGACTCAACCTGACGTGCAGTCTATATTTCTATGTCTATGGCTTTAACGAACGGGAATGTGCCGCCTAGAAGTCTCTAAAATTTGCATCCAGTGTGAACTACTTCATATGAATCCTTGCCTTAAACTCCTCGTCAGATGTTTAAGACCAAACATGTTTCAAAACAGTCCGTCCCTGAACCTACAACTACCTGCGATCGGTCATTAATCCGTTTGAACCGTTACGAGCGTTGTTCAAGATTTTGCCTATTTTCTCATCGGGGAATGCGGTGGCATCTGGTTCGTCGGTGTTGGGGTCGGGCTGCTGCTGCAGGATCTACTTAACGCCCTGTGAGGCTCCACGGTGAGGAATGTTCTGTCGGTGGCTGGGGGCGCGGAAATCACTTCCGGTTCCGCGGGACTGGGACAACGCCTCTGGTTACAGGTCGACAGTGTGCTTCTCGATAACGTTTGCAATGGTATCTGATAGATCCTTATCGGCTTCCAATCGGTCTGGCTGTCTGTGAAAGAGGAGGATATCAGATCATTTTGTAAAGCCTTGCACTTTTCGGCACGTGCAGATCATTGTTGTATCTTTCTGTCACGGAATCAATTCTGCCGTGGTCGAATAAAATGAGGTCTCGCGTTAAAGAGCGGTGTCTTTTTTGCGTATAGCGCCTATTTGCAGTGGGCAGATTTTCATATGTAAGAAATTGATCAAGTTGAAAATTACATAAATACTATATTAATTTTCATTGAGCATCTCTCCCTTTTTTATAATTTGATGTATAGTGATAACAGAGCAAAATATAAGTATACTTTACAATTTTACATATACCTCTTTAATAAGAACAACGCGCCATACAAACGTTAGAGAGCATGGTATATCATATCACTGTCCTGCTTTACCATAATGAAAATCGATGTCTAATCATTATACATTTCGAGCACTCAATGTATGTACATATATCTCGCATGAAGTATTATGGGATATCAAACTCGTTCGGAGCATTGGAACTAGATTTAGTATTATCAATTTTAGAGCCCAAGTCATATTGGTTTTAACCCCCCTGCGTTCCACTCGAAAGCAGGACGCTCGGTGAGTTAGATGTTACGATGTTCTTTGTGAATATAATTTAAGAAAACATTCCAAATTTCTTGTTGCAACGAATGACGAACCCGTCCAAAAGCGCTGTGCGCAGTCGAAGGGTCTGTTAAAAGCAAACAAGACTTTTACCGTGATCTGTAAACAGGATAAAACAAAGGACAACCAATGAAAATTGTGTACGTAATAAAAATGTTAGCTAGTCGCATAGACGTCTATGTTAGACATTCTTGTACTTGATACAGGAGGGTCGTAGGTACTTCCGTATTTGGTGCTCTAGCCGAATCTGTCTGATATTAACTTCTGTAGTGATTAATTTATCGACAGTTAATTTCTTTCTTTCTTTCGTCATGCCCTGTTCATTATTGAAACCGCTAACACATTCATCAAAAGACATACATATTTCACCAGACCTTCCGTTCGTTTGTGCGAACATGAATTGATATTGTATGGCAAAATGTCGGTAACCCGTGTGATCGACAAGGCGTAAACTCAGAGTCGGTCACCGGCGATTATATTGGCGGCAAATATGTTAACAGTTGATATTTACATCAGCCCAACCCGCGTGCCATCACGAAAACATATAGTGTCTAACGAGATATATCCTTAAGGGGATGCACCCCCTTGCTGGCCTAAAAACCAAGTAGGCAAATTAACCACTTTTTTCCTCAGGTGATTATGGAGTAATATATTGGAATCTTTTTAAGGAATGTTAGGCAATATTGTAACTTTATTGTCATACATTAGTTATTATTTAAGTTTACAAAATGGCGGTGTTATACAACATTTTCTGTCGTCATGTCTAGCAGGACCTTGTCAGCTGGCATCTAAAAGATCTCTGAAACTATTTATCCGGTCAACTTCAAGTTTATACACATTTTTCCTTAGAAAATAATGTACAATCTAGCCTATGATTTTTGTGATATTGAAATTTCTTGAATTTTCATGAATTTTCTAAGTTGATATTTGTCATATGAATACAATGATTTGTTTCCTTTATAAAGTTGCCGGTATATTATTTTTTTACAATTATTACAAAATCGTACGTTAGACTGTAGATAATTTTACAATGAACCAACATGTTCAAATCTGAAATATTCGGACGAATTCAATTTCTCAGATTTTCTGGGTGTCAGCTGACAAGGCCCTGCCAGACATGACGTTAGACACTCTTATATAAAGCGCCATTTTGTAATTTGAAAGAATAACTAATGTACGAAAATAAAATACTTTAATCAATAATTACCTGAGCAAACAAATTTTAAACCTATTTTTTCTTAATTCTACAAGTTGGTGTACCCTTTTAAGTCTATTTCCATTAAAACAAAAAAAAAAAGGTAAGAAGCATCGTGGTTCAAGAGGGTGTGACGAGGTTTACGAAACCCGTGTTAGACTTATGAAACACGCAGCTAGTTTCGAAGAATCCCGTTGCGTTCGATCCCGAGCGTTGCGTGAATTGCGAAACAGCCCGCGAGTTACAGAAATAAATGGAAAATTGTGATTGTCTGCCCCCCACCCATGGACGAGCGTGTACATACTTTGCGGGTTAGACCGAGAGGACGAGGACTGCGCGAAAGGAGGCGGACTGGAAACCGGTTCCTCTTTGTCCGAGGGCTTCGCGTCCAGCCGAATTCTTTCGCACTTCCCCGGCAGAAACTCCGGGGCCGTAGTCGCGAAGTATATGTCCTGCTTGGAGGTGATCAGATTCAAGCTTGGCATGGCCATCGTGTGAACTAGATTCCCGTTGATTATCAGACGGATCTCCATGGTGTCCTTGGTGAAGGCGATCACGTACGGAAAGGCACAGGCTGAAAAAGGAAACGAGTCTTTCGATTAGAATACAAAAACTAAACGGTATTCTCGGGGACGCCAGAAAAGCTACGGAAAGGACCAAAACAGTTTTACCTATGGCTGCTGGCACGGAATTCCAATTGAAGTCGAACTCTGTTGGCGCGGTGCTCTCCTCCAGCAACTTTTGAAAATGGCACGTGTCTGCGAACATCACGATTCTATGAGATGGTACCATTTCAAGCGAACCGGGGTGACTATATAACAAGATGACTTGTGTGGTATACGCACTATTGTAACAGAGCAACAATTCCGGTTCCTCATCTTCGCAAAGGTCTAACGCAGCGACCAGGTGAGGTTTCGGAATACCCTCGACGTGTAGGACCCTGGTGGTACCGGTCGCGGAGATCAGCTCGAAGTGATGCCGTACGCCGCAACAGAGGGTCCATTCGTTGATCGAGTCCGTGCTCTCGATAATCGTGACCAGCGACGGGGTCTCGCTCGCGGTGAACTCCTTCAGCATCGTGAAACCGTCGACGGTGTCCGTGTCCGCCGCGGAACACCAAGCGGTCCAAGCAGCGCTGTGCTTCCATTGGAGAACCGTCAGCCGCCGACCAACCGCGACACACTGAACACCAGGACGTTAGGAGGAGGGTTGGAAGAAGAAACAGAGTCAGGGGTAGTGATGCCAGATTTTTTATGAGATTCTTCGCAACTCACATTTGCCCAAAATTGCCCAAAGTCGTAATAGTGCTGTCAGAAAAATCATGAACGTGCTGTCACGCGGGACTTTTTAAATTAATGTACCTTTTTTTAGTATGATACATTAAAAAAATAGACATACATAACGAGTTATACATATTAAAATATATGTAATATACAGGGTGAATCAATAAGAACTACTGTCTAAAATAACTCGTTATCTATTGGTTGCACCAGAAACCGTTTTAATAAATTATGTAGTTTTTAAAGGGACGCATCGGATGGATACAGTTAGATTTTTTTATATCTTATTTTTTTGAGATATCAATGTGACCTTGTGTTTTTTCAGGGTCAATCCATCTTTTTTTAATACCACGTTGTTGTTGATGAAAGGACGAATTCCGCGACTTATAGCATGATGGTATTAAAAAAAAGATGGCCTGACCGTGAAAAAACACAAGGTCACCTTGATATCTCAAAAAAATAAGATATAAAAAAATTCTAACTGTATCCATCCGATGCGTCCCTTAAAATGCTACATATTTCATTAAAACGTTTTTTGATACAGCCAATAGATAACGAGTTATTTTAGATAGTATGTAGTTCTTATTGACTAACCCGGTATATAATTCGAAATCACTCAATTTGCCACTTGTGATTACTTAAAAAAATTCTTTGCAATTTTAGTACAAAGTTCGACCAAACTGCGATAAATCGTCTAATCTGGCAACACTGAGCAGGAGGTTCAAGTGACGTTGAGAGAATACCATTCGCAGATGGGAACCACCGGGCATGGTGGTGGTGTACAAATGGCAGCCCCTTGTTCTCGGTAGTCTGCGCTCTTTTATATGCGCTCGCCCTCTGACGGCCAACGGTCGCACCCGTACACGGCCCCGTGGATGAATCACTGGTTTGAATCTCGCGGTGGCACGCGCGAAACTGTCGTACTCGTTGTCCTCGCTCTCGTCCGCGTCGTCGTCCGCGTCCTCCTCGTCCCCGTTGTCGTCGAATTCCTGATTGTCCTCCCGTTCGTTCAACGTCTCCCCGGATCTGTTGGCCACGGTGTTCTCGAATTCACGTAGACGGAAGACATAGACGTTGCTCTCCTTGCCCTTGTCACCGGTACGGAACAATAGGATACCGTGCTGTTCCACCACGTCCAGTTGCTTAATCTGCACGGACTCGTCGAAGATCAGTCTGTGGGACAGGCTGTCTGAAATGTCGAGTGGACGGATCACCATCCGTCGAATAATAGGGGAAAAGGTGGTAATACGGAACGACCCTGACAACCAGTTGTGTACAAGTTTCGAGCAAATTGCCAGCAATAAATGTCAAAAGTTGTCTAAAAACCATAGCCATCTGTTTCCGCATTTGACTTGAGTTCTGTAGGCCACGCCAGCTGACTAAATGGTAAAGCAAATTGGCAGCAAGTTTTGCAACATGACCTATGTCAAATTGAGGGCAAAACCGGAACAAGGTTTGCGCAAGCCAATTGCTGCCAATTTGCTACCTATGTTGCTGCCAACGTGCGCGCAAGTTGTTTATAGCAAATCTTGCATCAAACTTGTAGCCATAACTAAAATTTGGCTATGCAGGTTTGGCTGACTGGGGAGGAGCTTCCCAAATATGCATACGGTTAAAAATAATAAACACAAATATAAATATATAATTTTAAAAGCTTATAAATCCATGAATTACTCAATATTTCGCAGGTAGTTGCGATATTATGTGCACGTTCTCGCTATCTTAAGTTTTGCTTGTGTTGTTTCTTTTCAATCGCGATTGAAAATCTTTAGATTCGAATAATTCTATTCTTTATCTATTTCTTTTATCTGACAATTGGATATAAAAATATAGATCATCTTTCAATTGAGAACGATTTGAGTTTGGGTAAGCGATATTAGGCGTGCACTTACCTTGTAATTGTATAAATAACGACGGTTCTGGCAATGGTAGTGAGAAACGAGAAATATTCATTGAAATTACCTTCTATTAAAAAGGTCCCACTCTCGGTACCCAGGACCACCTTGCTGTCCAACCATACGTCCCCGCAGACAACTTCGTGAGGGAAGTCTGGATAGATGCACCTTGGTTCCCACGGTCTGGGCTTCAATGGACCAGCGGTGGCCAGAGAAGTCGGCGCCAGCCCTCGCACGATCGCCTCCAGTTTCAGAGCCTGGCCGACACGCACCATCTCGACCGCTCGCGTTTCCTCGCGACGTCGACCTGGAGCCTCCACCACATCCGACAAAGCCCGTCGGTTTAACATGCTCTGTGAAAATTCGATCGGTGTTCTTTTCCAGGAGGGTGAGGGGACATAGCCAATGCGCGCGTGAAGCCTATTAATTTCTCTCTCGCAATTCGCAATGATAACCGTTGCGGAATTCGACGCATTTTCTATAATCAATGTGACGGCCATCTTTGTTTACGACGCGTGAATTAGGAGAAGAATCGTCGACGGCCCCGGGTAGCGAGTTTAGTCGAATCAACTGTCTGGTAAGTAAACGACTTATATTCGACTTCCAGGTTGATATCGGATTGATCTATATCTTTTCTTCCAACAGTTTTCAGAAATAGGAGGGAGCACGGCAGCCATATTTGTTTACGTTACTGCTAGCTATCTTGGTTTACGTTATCGGTTGTCACCTTTGATTATGATACGTATGAGAATTAGGAGAAGAAGACTCGTTGACGGTTCCGGCTAGTGTTCTAAACGCAGTAAAAAATTCTTTACATAAGTATCGCTATACTGAAAACCAGTTAGTGCAGATAGTTAATTGAATATTTGAGCTCCAATTTGGTATGATTTCTTTTTCATATTCATTAATTTCAAACGGCGTACACAGTTTTGAAGTAGTCAACCTCGAAACTCTTGAGAACTAAAATTATTATTCATAACTTTGTTGTTTGCTTGATTGAATTGCTATGGAATGAAGTATATCACGTATCTATGTATTTGAATTGTATCAAAGCGCGTTTTGATACAAAGTATTTTCCATTTTCATTTTTAATTTTAATTATGACTTCAATAGAGTTTAGTGTTCTTTCTGGTTGCATTTAAAAGGACCAAGCCTCAGAATTAATATAAAGCAAAAATGATTTACTATCAACTGTTACTGCGGTAGTTATCGGGGTGATACGGGAGTACAAGACACCGTTTTTTTTTTACAAAAACGACTTGCTTGCCATTGAACTTTGAAGGAATTGAAGTATTTTTCATGCAAAAGCAAATCAGTCTTTTCGAGCGTTTGTCTATCTGTACAGTGTACAAGATATTAAGGAATACAAGATAAATGAAACACTCTGTATATGTCCGAACTACACGAAATGAAAAAACAAAAGATAAATATACGCTTTTCGTAAAAAAATATTTTCTTCCGCTTTTTCGATGCAAATGCCCCACTGTGACGTCTGGTAAGTAAAAGTTTCATATCCGATTTCCGGAGCTGGTACCGGATCGATCGATTTCTTTTTCTCCTACAGTTCTCAGAAATACGACGGAGCACGGCAGCCATCTTGGTTTACGTTCTCGGCCGCGTTCTTTGTCCCCTACATTGAAACGGACAATATCGTGACCGTACACGCAGCAACTTACGTTACTTTTGCTCTCCTGCGTGTGCTCTTGGTACATGTCCCTCAGAAGAGCGAGTGTTGAAGGTCGCCTTCTCGCCGTTAATCAGCTTGACGAGCAGAAACTCCCGTAGTGTGTACGGGTCCTCGAAGACGGGCGGACAGGGCAGGCTGGGTCCGAACAAAGGTACGCTCTCATCGCAGTAGATAGCCACGCGCCAGCCTCTGCCTTTCCCTTCGGTGGACACAACCGCGAATACGTCTACATCGAGAGAGGGAAACCATCGACCATCGTCTGGTACACGGGGGCGGAACAACTTACGCGTAAATTGGCTCCTGATGCAATTTGGGTTGAACGCGTCTATGGCGTCGGGATCGTCCGTGTAAACGATGTTAACGATGTCGTTGCCGATGTGCCGCTTTCTCTCCAGCTGCTGCGGGTTGTCCTTTGAATAGGGCAGCATCGTGCTCACGTGGTACATCACTTCGTGGCCCGCGTACACAGTGTAATAGCTTTCTTTGCCGGTCATGTCGCCTGAAAGTATCTCTCGTTACGGCGCTCAAAAAGTTTCCGGAATTTTTATTTTATTTCGCAAAATGTTTATCTGTCCATGAAACATCGATATAATCCCTTCAAAGTAGTCCCCATCGGATATAATACACTTATGCCATCGTTTCTTCCAATCCTCAAAATAGTCTTGAAATGCATTTTTCGGTACAATATTGTCCTTTCAGACATCAGATCTTCCAACGATTTTGCCTTTATCTTCTCTATGGTCGTTTTACTAAACTGCTCTATTTGTTCGTGAATTTTAGTCAGATAACAACACTCTAGTGATGCCTCAGCACCGTATTCGCTGGACACAGCCTTCTGTGACTCTTTCCTATTCCCAAAGATGAAGAGAACCATGAAAGGACCGAGGTTCTGCGACCATAGAGGAGATAAAGGCAAAATCGCTGAACGAGCTGAAGGCTATATCGAAAAGTGTGTTTCAGAAGTGGTTTGTGAATTGTGTCATATCGCAATAAGGACTACTTTGAAGGGGGCCAGAAGTTTTAGTCTACGTTTTCATGTATACGCTGAAAGTCTAAATAAGGAAACGAAAATATAGCGCGTAAAACAGGGGCAAAACAGCGGTGGGTGTAACGAAAAAGTATCCGACACACCTTTCACATCCAAACCGCCCCTGTACTTGTCCCAGTTCTTCAGCTGTATCCTCTCGCCCAGAATCTCCAAGAAGTTTTCGAACTCCAGGCTACCCTCCTCTGCAAACGCAACACGGTATTAGAACGACGAAATCCAACCCCCATTTAACCGTTAAAGTTTTCGTCTCCGAATCGATTTACCATTAGACAGCATCTCGTCGTCGGTGATCTGCCCCTTTCGCGCGTATATCACGCCGAACTTGAAGTTCACCGAGCCCTCTTGCTCCTCTAGCAGGAGCAGGTCCTGCGACACGGGAATTTTTGTAAACTTATCCCAGGTCTCGGGGGGTTTTGCAAACGAGTTACTCTTACCTCACCGACACGATTTCATCGACACCGAATTTCGCCGACAATATTAACTCACCGACACGTTTAGATCACCGACAACCATTTCATCGACTATGTTTATTTATTGATGTCGACTTCTAGTGCGTGTAATGATCCACACACCACCCAGTATTAACCACGCACCCAACATCCTACCAAACATAGGACAAACACACACACACACACACACGCACACAATGTGCTCTGGGGCTCGACGAAGAAATCCTTTTCCTGTTTTTTTAGATATTTACACCTAAACTTGTGTTTGATGTAATATTGTGTGCGTGGTTAACACTGAAAGTAAGAACTGTGTCATTATTATTTTATACGAGGAAACGAATATCGAGATAATGATGACGTGTAGCGATATATGTATAGATGGATATACACATATTGTCAGTGGTTGAATAGAAATAACAGTCATTATATGCACTAGAAGTCGACATCAATGAGTAAACATTGCCAGTGAAATGATTGTCGGGGAAATTCAGTGTCGATGAAATCGTGTCGGTGAGGTAAGGGTAACCCTTTGTAAACGATGAATGGACCGCGATCGACTCACCTTCTGTATGTCCGGCGAGAAAATTTCGCGGGGTGCTTTATCGAGCTTCTCCAGTCCAAAGAAGTTGCTGAAATTTCAATTCAATCATCCGTCTCAGGTGATCGCCTTTCGACTACTGGGATATTATTTTTAGAGTTCGGAGATTAGCTTTCTCTATGCGAAGCAACCATGTACACTCACGAACCAACTCGTCTTGCATTAGGGAAAAAGCGGCACAAAGGAAGGGCCTCCAACACTTGGTTTTGGGTGTTACTGAAACGTATACCAAAATAACATCGGATTCAACATTTATTTCAATTCACCCAATTCTATTTGTACACGATAGATACGTTACGGAAGAATGCGTGTAAAAAAAATTCGAGTAAAAAAGTATACCATATTTATGGAGAAATAGAAGATTGATTTCAGACTTAAAAAATCAGCAAAAGTAATACAATAAGACATATGCAAATTCATGTTAGAATCTTATCATTTTTAAGTGTTTGCACTTCTTATTTTATAAACATTGCACATATGTATAAGAATATTAATGTAAATTATCACTTGAAAAGTAAAATAAATATCTTGGTCATCGTCTTCTTGCTTTATTGGTGAAATTCTTTCTGTGTCCTTTTGAACAAAATTAGCACTAGTCTCCTGTGGTGTCGATGTTTCAATGGTTTTAAGAACGAATTCAGTTATTAACCCACGTGTACGTCATTTGATCGTATTTAATGACTTCATGTTCATCAGTTCAAATGATTCAATTCATGATATCATTAATCATTTCACATCACGTTGGAACTTCCCAATTTATTCCTCATTAGGATCATGTTTGGCAAAAGGATTACCCAATTTACTGGCCAGTACAAGAACTTCATTCAAGATCATTCATAAAAAATTCTTTCTTAGAATTTGGGTCGATCGTGTCAAATCAAAACAGATCGGGTAAAAGGAGAATGAAATTTTTGTTCTAATTCGTGTTAAACCAAAATCGTGTAAAAACTCAATTGGGCGTACATGTAATAAATTTACGAAGTGGCAGGAAGTCCGTCTCCTACGCCACTTTTCCCCTTAGCGGAACTCAAGTTTGGTTGTGACTGTATAATAACTAAAATGATTGACAATGTTTCGGATTTCGCATGCAGGTAGAGTGGCGATGTGGCGTACACTAGAGGGTGGGGGGTGGCTGTTTTCATTGTTGCTACTTTAATGGAAACAATTTTATTCTCGAAACTTTGTTGTCACACCTTGTAGCGATGAGCGACAAGTATGAATGTCGGGAAAAGGACCGGCACGCGGTACTGGAAAGTAACTGTCTTGGCGTTTTCAAGTTTTTATCGAGTGATGGTCAGTAGACACTGTAGACAGACATCCAGCATGATGGACGCTTTCTTGGAAGATTTTTCCCCAAGGTAAAACAATAATCCTACGAAGGTGAAAATCAATCCTGACCGAGGAGTATCTATGTACTACTTGGATTGTATTTCCCAAAGGAACGAGATCTATTCTCATTGAGCGAGTTTCGTATTATTGTACAGGAAGTATACGTCAATCGTCCCTTAATTGCTTCATTTAGGAATAATCTCTTTGTACGTTGTTCAATTAGATTTGGTTCGTTTATAGTAATAGTAATAATAATAGCATTTACCTGAGGATTTGCCTGATCGTCATCGTCTTGTTTGCGGAGTACGGTAGCGATATCTTCTGGGCACCCTAAATTTATTATTCCTTCGATCACCGAAATTCTTTGAACCTTCATCGTGATGCCATTTCACGATTTACTATTTCACTTACGGTCTTTCTCCACAAAATGACTCTGTAATGAGGCACGCTTTGGTCGTTGACTTCGCTGGTTACGACTGACAGAAACAGAGGGTTCCTTTCTTGATCCGCGGCGACGTAGTTTTGGTGCACTGCAGGTAAATAATAATATAATAACTAATAGGTAATATATAATGGACAATGGATAACGAATAACGAATAACGGACAACGGGTAATAGATAATAAATAATAAATAATAATAGCAAGCAGTAGTGGATAAAATATAGTGCGAAGTAATAGATTTTATCCTCGGACGATATTGTGTTGTTGGAAAATTCTACACAATTTCCTGCGACGTAACTGAAGAAAAGGTGTTTCTACGTACAGAGACAAATTGAAAAATGTAGTAATAGAAGTTCTTTCGTATACCGCCTCATTTTCGACTAAATCAAATTTGAACGTTCATCATGTCTCTCTACTGATCGTTGTTTCTACTTAAAATAAACGTAGACTGTAGAGTCGAGCATTATTTAAATTAATCTTTACTTGCATAATTTTCTAAGTAAAAGCATATGTTAATTATGATACAGCGTGATAAATGATTAATACTACTGTCTATATTTATGAACAACACAATCTTGAACAATATCCGATACACTACTGTCAATAGTTATGAAAAATACAATAAACGGAAATAACCTAGTCTCTCAATCTAGAATAGTATCGAAATACATACACGACATCAAACAAAATTTCAAAAATTTGATTATTTTCATATCCAAATTTCTACACAGCAATCCCATTCTAAGTCAAATTAAGCAACGTTCACATGATAATGCTCTTCATCATCAAATATTTAAAAATAGCTTTCTTTTAAAGAGATACACCGTTTGCAATAATAATAGAAACTCTGGAAATGGCTCTGATAATTCTACTTCAATATGGTGAAAAGGACGACAGTCGAAATTTTTGGCTTCACGAGTGATGAGTTTACACAACATTATAGTTTTAATAGATATTTCATAGTTTGATTATCCACCGTGTTCGTGTAATTCAGCTACACCAAACTAATTCCTGTTACCTGAATTGGAAACGAGGACAAACGAACGACAAACTACGATCATTTTGATATTCGCAGGGCTACGATGACTCCATTCTCCGCCGCGCCGTATCGAAGAACAATTACCACAGTTATTTCTAGTGTTTTTATAATTATCATGGACAATGTACCACTTCAGAAGGAAACTACTTTTAATAATTGTCGATAACAAGCTTAAATGTCATAGGCAAAATTATTGTTTTGAAACCTTAATTGGGAAACTTTTCAGGCAAACTGTGGAATTGCCCCCCTTTGAATGGTATAACTTCATCATTTTTTCCTATCTTTAGTTCTAAACATAGATGTTTAGGTGTTGTGTTCTTCGCGATTCACCTTGTATATGTATATGCATGCGATCCAATAGGAGAGATATCGAAATGAATGAGGAACAGCTGACTCATCGGTCTCGATATCTAACGGCGGTACTTATCTAGAAATTCTGCAAATCACTGGCGGAACTTTTTTTTTACTTACATTTTCCGAGGAAGTACTTGAAGTACCAACGCGTTTGGTACTCGGGATTTTCCAATATCGGCGTGCTGGGCGAACCGAACATCTGTACAGCGATATGATCTGGTTTTATCGATAGCGAAACGGAGGGCAAGAAAAATCAGGAAGAATTTAAGGCAGCTAGAGATCATTTTTCTAAAATTTGACCTTTTAACACCAGCCAATTGAAATTCTTTTAAAATTACGATGAATTTTCTACTTTTTGGATCGGTGCAAAAGTTTTGATGGATTTTCTGCCAAAAATAAAATAAAAAATAATAACAATCTTATTAATGGATCACATTATGAACACATCCCAATGCGGATGTATATAGTTATTTAAAACAAACGTTTACACGACTGAATGCGTTTTACTGTTGTAAAGCAAAACTGAGTAGAATTTTTTATATGCTCTATTTTAAGCGTCATAATCGTATACGAATTTTGTACAGGTATAAACATGGCAAATTCCGTAAATAATACACTTGCGATCTATTTAGAGAAACTGTTGTGTAAATACCAATGGGCGGTATACTGTAAATTTATTAAAATAATTTTATTACATAAATTTAGTAATAATAAGAGCATTCAGAAAATTTGAATTGAAAATACGTGTTATGAAACAATTATTACGTAATTTATTAAATTATTGTGGAATCATAATTAAAGAAATGTTATTAATCTACTCATTAATAGCAAAATTCATAAAAAGTTTTGAACTGACCCAATACTTGCGACTCCAATAGCAACTTGAAATATCAAGAAAAATAATCTTTAATTTTCGGTGCAGTGTACATAGCAAATTTTTTCTCTTTAATTTAGAGTCTGACGCAATCCTTAGTAGAGTAAAGAGGTACGTAGTTGATTTATAAAATTTACATTTGCACAAATATCCGTAGCCTACTTCCCAAATAGCACAGAAACGTTATTGTGTACGTCCAGACAATGTACGTTCTGGATGTTCGGTATATTCGGAAGATGTCCTGAAAAGGTCCACATGTCCCCTCTATGTCCTCGTTAAGATCTTCAAATGTCCTAGGAAGGTTCTATTTACAAGATGGAACATCCTGAGGACGTCCTTGTCAACATTCTCAAAACGTTTTCCGAATGTGTAAAAGTAACATTCTTTGTACTTTTTGGGAACGTTTAAAGAGTTTTTAAAAACGCTATGGTAATGTCTTAAAAGGCGTATAAGAAAAGTTTCCAAAATGTTTAAAGTTACGGTTAAATTTAATTCTGTGCAAGGTGATAGAAGTTACGTTAGGTTGGTTTGTGTTTAATAAACAAAAGATTAACTTTTCTGCGATTTCTGCACTTAGTGAAAATTAGATCAAGTTAGTTCCTGTTGATAAATAAAAGGTTAAATTTCCTATAAGAATTGTAATGAAAATATAGGACTGAGAGTTATGATCTGTGTGTACAATGTGTTTATTTTTATTTTCAATGCAAAATACTGATTCTGTGTTGGTTATGGACAATTTAAAAAAAAAATATTTTTTCAAATTTTCTGAGGTATCCGCACAAAACCAGTAGTGTCGTTACACTTCTCTATTGATTCTCTAAAGAATGACACTATGTTTATGGAATATCATCACTAATGACATTAAGCCAAAATTACTAACTAAAACCAGTCGAAATATAAATTTTACGAAAATTCGTAAAACTTAAGAAACGCACAGTCGTAGAACATCCGAAATTTAAGTCTTAAGAACATCCTAAGGATGTCCACAATGGACGTAGAACATGCGGTTTTAAACTGGACATGAAAGGGACGTCCTTTGGATATACTGTGCTATCTAGGTTATAACGAATTAATCGAGGTAGCGTTAACTGCGGTCTCACAAAGAGAGTGCTCAACTTCGGATTGTCGGTTTTAATTTTAATGTAACTTTAACAAATCACCCCCCCCCTCCATATAGGATCTGATACTCCAAAGTGTTAGAGTTATTTGCTTTTGAAGTTTTCCGTGTGATTTAAGTGAAAGTTATGTCGACCGATCGTTTGCAGATGTCGCGTCAACGCAACGTTCATGGTTTCTATCGTAACGGCCAATGTTCAAATACTCCCAGATACATCAAAAAATCTTTGGAAGGGACATATTCAAACTCTAGTTGTCACAGTAGAGATCATGGTCGTTACCCTGACACTAAAACACTCATGTAGTAATACACCACCTTAAAGAAAATATCAATGTCTTCAGTTTAACATTTACATGAACGGTAACCGTCTGTGTTATTGGAAATTGAACATTCGATTTACATTAAAAAAAAGCTCAATTTATTACCATAAATTAACAAATGGTTCAAAACAAATATACTTTTACTAAATTCGTAAATTGTGTTCACTTTGGACAAATTTCGATTGCGTATATATGTATACAAGAATAAACGAATATTTTCCGACTTTAAACATTATTAAATGTTGTAAATGTTATTTTTAACTTTTCTATACTATACTGAGATGATTCAGTACTTTGTAAAACCTTCACGGGCTTTGATAAATGCCTTGCATCTATTGTGTATCGTGTGTACCAGTTTTAAAAAAAATCATTATCAGGTTTGTGATTCCAGACACGATTGATCATTTCTTCGAGTTCTTTCTTACTTTTAAGCTACTTGTGATGACTTCACGAGGTGAATTTACACCCTTGGATCGGTGGGCAGTTTTAAAAAAACTTGCTGCAAAATCGTTTATAACATTACAAATTAATATTAAATTTTAGAAAATGTTTAAAAGAAACCACACGTAGTAAACTAAGCATTTGGGATTGCTTGCAGATTTTAAATAATTATTAATTCATTCTGTATAATATGAATATTCTAAATATGGAGATATTTACTGTATAAATCTATTTTTTTTTAACGAAAGAGATGTTTAATAATATTATGTTCTAAACCGACATGATTTTTCGGTTGAACAGCAGGTACATTATGAGGTCTTGCCACTGTGAAGCTCTGAAAAATTGTAATTTTTTGTATTGTTTTTTAGTGAACGAAATGTTTAAGATAAAAGAAGTGTTTCCCATTTGTTAATACACTTGTTGAGAGTGTAAAAAATATTTTTTGACACTTTTAATAGTTTTTTTTTATTTACATATCGCACTGAAATAACGCCTTGAACAAATTATGTAGTACTGCTGTAGGTGATTCCAGAAGAACGAAGCTTCAGAATCAAAAAATTCAAACTGTTTTTTTATCAATACGAGTGTCGTTATCATCGGAGTCAAAATTATTGTGACCGTTAAAACATAAACGAAATGGTAGAGGTTTAAAATTCAAATTTGGAAATTCGATGAATTTTTTTAGTCACTGCATTGCAAAAAGTATGAAATTGTTGATCAAAATGGTTTCCGTGATCCCTGCGATAGCCTCTGATATGCAGAATAACATGTATGTACAAATTTCAGACTGGTCAAATAATTTTTTTTGCAACCACCTACGCCAGCACTACATAAGTTTTTCAAGGCGCTCACATCAGTGCGATCTAGGTACATATATTCAATACAAAAATTACTGAAAGTTAAAAAAAAAGTGTTTATACTTTCAATCAGCGTATTAATAAATAGAGATCACTTCATTTATGAGGACCATATCGCTCGTTGAAAAAAAAATCCATAATCATGACAATTTTTTAGGGCTTCACAGTGGCATCACCCCTCAAACGAAGATACGCTACAATCTCAAGGTGGTAGTAATTAAGACATCTACATAGCCTACATATCCCCGAAAAGTTTCATTAACGCTAACCGTACCGAGACTTTTATGCGTTTATTTGTACCGTATTTAAAATCGGTTATTTGAACGACGGTCGGTACAGTTAGTGTTAAGATCGTTGACCCGAAGTTGGAATCCTTTCCTTGTTATGTACTAGTAAATACTCCACAAAGCCCGAATACATATTCATTTCTGAAAGGCTCAGACAGCGAACAGTCTGTAAGGAAGATGGCGGACGGATGTACGTCACACGGAAGGGACATAATCACTGTACCGCTGTTGCTCTTACCTCCTCTTTCTCGCCGGGCGAATCGCCGTTCTCGACCCGAAATCTTCTGCCATTGTCCGACCCGTCCTGCTCGATCTGCGGCAGCTAAAAGGGCGATTTCAAGGGGGAGGGGGATGGGGCCGACATTAGCACACCGTGCGAATTGTGTCTGTCGAGAGACCGTGTTCCAGTTTCGGAGTGGCTCCGTTACTGAGCGTCGAGTGCCGGAAAAACGAACGGCGCACACCGCGACCCGTTTTCTACCGTTCTTCTGTAATTACGTTTTATTGTGGTCGCGCTATCACCACCACCCGCTCCATCCACCTTTGTCCCGTCCGCTACAATCTCCGCGAACTCGACGAACGGGAAGCCGCAGGCCAGCCCCGAGCCACGCCGCGCCGTTTGCGGCACCACACATCTGGCGAAAAAGTGCTCGCGACCGAACGAACTGAATTGACCGCGATGAAAATCACGCTGCTCGACTTCATACGGTACTGGACAAAAATGTTATAGGACAAGCACCTTTTTCTTGTGGTATTCGAGTTACAAGGTATACATTATTGACGTTAGATTAACCCGTTCGAGACCAGTGTCGGATCAAGGGGGTCTAGAGAGGGGTTGCAACCCCGGGCCTCATGTTCCAGGGGGGCCTCGTTCGGAACCTTAATCAAAATCATTTTCAATTTTTAAATATTTATGTATTTTGTTGTGCTGTATCACAGAAAGTTCCACCCGTTTTTCAAGCAAGGGGGCACCCGAAAATTTGATAGCCCTGGGCCACAAAAACACTTAATCCGGGCCTGTTCGAGACTAACGGGACAAAACTGCCCTCCTTGTTTAAAATGTCCAAGCTAACAAATTATTGTGTTTCAAGATTTTTCGAAATATTTGTAGCGCCATATCTGGACCCCAAAGCTAGAGTGTATTAAGTTACACTTTTGACACTTTAGAGGACAACATATCTAAGGTGCGAAAACCTTCGAACTCTTGAATGGAATTAAGACAAGTCTCTACATATATGCAGAAATGGTGAACATTGCATTAATTCCCGTATGTGATGAACTGTACACTGTTTTCAAAAATATGAACGTAATATCATTTTTAGACTCTTATGTACCTATATTAAAACCCTAGGCGACTTAGAACAGAATAATTTTTACCATCGGAAAGACTGAAATATTTGATACAGGAAGTATATAAATATCCTTTTTTTAAAAAAGTGGACCTAAAGGCAGGCTGGACGCAGACACGTGCAACAGCGAACACGAAAACGCCCAGTCAAAATTCCGTATAACTAGGGCCTTCCTTGCGCGGAGATCCATTAAAATCGATCCTTTCAAGAGTGTTCTGCAATGCGCTTTGTTCGCGTGTGCTCTGCCTGACCACGGTCGGGAACAATGGATCGTTGCAGAACACTCTTAAAAGGATCGATTTTAATGGGTCTACGCGCAGGAAAGGCCCGAGTTATACAGGATTTTGGTTGCGCGTGTTTGTGCTCGCTATTGCACGTGTCTGTACCTGCCTTAATACGCTCTGAGGTCCAGATATTCATTTCACTTTTCAGTTAAAGCCAGAATGCCCTGTGAGCTCTTTAGGGCTCTAGAAACATCTTAATGTAATTCTAACTGGTTTTAAATGAAAGTTATGACTTATGTTTATGCATCAATGACTTATGTTCTAAACACGTGTAAAAAAATAAAATAAATACGATTTAAATCGTTTCCTATATTAAAATGGCCTACGATGAAAAACAAGGTCGACACAACGAAAATGATAAAACCTCATTTGTCTCGGATGTCTGAATATGTCAGTTAGGACAATTAAGCTAAGGAGGGCGGAATACGTACCAAGCTAACATTTACTCCGAAATTCAATTGTTTATATTTAGAAATGAAATTTATAAAGACAAAAATTGTGGTAGATGTTCAACAGCCAGGATAGAAAAATGGACTAGAATTGCAGAATACATGGTGGGACATCTCGTATGTGTATCTTCAACAACTGAACACCCAAAACGAATGGTTGGATCAGTGTTACTTTTTGCCTTTTAGACATTTAGTTACAGGATCTATATGCAAACTCACAATTTCAGGGTCTGATATACAAAAAATTAATATTCTATTTTTTGTGTATCAGATGTGATTATTGTATTACTGCTAACATATAAATATTGATTAAATTGTATTAATGCCTTCATTAACCGTTATGTCAGTGACCAAAATTTTCTACGTTTTTCAGTAACCCGGTACCTCGGGTACCCCCAAGTGTTATCTGCCCGGGTAAATTGAACATGCAGTAACGATTTTGCTGTCATACCTTCCCTTCAACTATCTTTTGATTGTTTTACAGTATACTCAATATTGTTATAAGAGATTTGAATGAACAAGTAACAACAGAGGACGAAATACATTCACAATCTGAAGTCCTTTTACGATAGAGACGTTATTTTTTCGCTATTGTTTAGAGTCCCCTTTAAATTCTTCAGAGTAGATCTTCCTAGTAGGATTTTCAGTTTATTGGTTTATGAAAATCGATCTTCAAACAAGCCAATAGTGAGATATTTCTCATTGTGAGTAGAATTAGCACTACAAAGTATTACGGGGACACCACCCAAGGAAATTGTTGCACACTTATTGTCAGTTTCTAGACATAGAATGCCCCATAACGAGATTCAATTGGGAGAAAGAAAGTAGTGCGTAATGATGTTCCAATTAAACAATGTAGGAAAATGCGTAAGAGTTGCAAAACTACAAGGGACCAATTTGTGAAGAACACGGACATTTATAAGATATGAAAGATGCTCGTTAACCTTTAATTACAAACAATTTGCTCTCACAAGGAAAGACACGGAAATGTCTCTGTCTCATTTTGATGAATCGTCGTACGTTTGTTAAGCAGGACAAAATAAGGGACACGTGTTTTTTTTATCGGATGAGTTGCGATTTTAAGGGGTGAAAGCAGCCCTCAAAGTTTTGATTCGAGAAGTACTATCTTGAAAACGAAAAGAGATACATGAAAACTTCTAATGGGCGAGTTTTGTAGTCTCTTATGTACAATAATATGGTGGTAACAAATTGTCCAAGATACCATTTGTTTATAACAAAAGAAATTTTATAACTTCATTTTACAACTTATTCAAATTTATGAAAGGACAAAAAGTGATGAACATTTCATTTCAATTACATTGGGGTGTGTATTTATGAAATTGCCTCCTACAGTGTCGCAGATTTTTATTTTTATTTAGCCTTAAGTCACCGCGCGATATTAAATCGAATCGTATCGAACGATATTACATTATCAGTCGATAATGTTGTCGATAAAGTTCTTTATTAGCGTCAGTGGAAAACAATTTTTTTTTTGCGACATATCATAGTTAATTTTATTACATTTTCATTGCATGATATGGATCAGTTAAAAATATACCTACTCCAAGGAAGACTGATTAAACTGATAATTTGAATATGTAACGGGTAATTTGCATAACTTGAGGAACATTGTCATCGCAATAATGATAATCTTCGAAGATATGTTTCAAACATATCGGCATTCGATACCAAAAACAAGTATTGTAATAATAGGTAGCTACATGACCACATAAAGGTGTCTCAGATCAGGTAGTATAACCAGGCAGAAGGTAATTCTGCAGGAAAAAAACAAATAAAAAATAAACAATAAAATGTTTTCCTATGATCGTTTGTTTCCGAGAAAATAGAATTTGAAAATATGCTGGATATGCATGCAATCGAATAAAACTTGGTTAATACGCCTGTTTATTACATTCCATTTCTACTTATCGTTACCACGAATACACGCATACACAATGCTATTTACAAGTGGTTTTCCCGAAAACAAAGTTTTGTATGAAAAATTTTATTCTTCTTTTTCGCCTTTTTATTATAGAATCCCGTTCTGTATGGTTGTTCTAATCCACCAGGTATGCACTTACGTAGTGATGTAGCTATCATTACTTGTGCTTGGTGCCGTTGCTATGTTTGAAATGTTTCTTCGAAGATTATCATTATTGTTATGACGATGTTCTATAAGTTATTCAAACTACTTGTTACGTATTAAAATTATCAGTTTAATCCATCTTCTCTGGAGTACGTACATTTTTACCTGTTTCATATCATGCAATATAAATTTAATGAAATTGGCTATTATTGTATATTGCAAGAATAGTTGTTCTTTACTAACACGTATAAATTATGTCGCCTGAGAATTTAATTCGTCCGATATGATTTGATTTAGTATCACTTGGTGATTTACAATTAGTGGTCGTGCGCACAGGATATGAATAATAAAAATCTGCGAAACTGTAGGAGGTAATTTTCTAAATACACATACCAATGTATTTGGAATGACATTCTTATCCCTTTTTTTCGTTATGTAAATTCGAATAAGTTGTAAAATAAAGTTACAACACATTTTTTTGTCACAAACAAATTGTATCTTGGAGAATTTGTTAGCACCATATTATTGCACATAAAAAATTATGAAACTCGTCCATTAGAAATTTTTTATGTATCTCGTCTGATTTGCGAGATAGTACTTCCGGGTCGGAACTTTGAGGGATGGTTTCATCCCTTAAAGTCTCATCTCAGCCGTTAAAATAACACGTATCCCTTATTTTTGCCAGTTTAACAAACGTACGAAGTTTCATCATAATCGGAGGAAAACACTTTCGTGCTTTTCCTTATTAGATATGAATAATCTGACAATTACAGTAAATCATGAATGAATGTCCGAAGGCTCCTAGGCACTGAGTGTTCAGACGTCATCCCCACCATTGGGGCGGGTCCCCCGTAAAACCAATCCAGCGCCCAGTGGTGGGAATGATGTCTGAACACCAGTGCTTAGAAGCCTCCGTACATTCATCCATGACTTACTGTACTTTACAATACTTTTAACAGCCGACTGTACATTATTTGTCGTTACCATTATAACACAGTGTGCCACTTACTGTCAACTGAAAGTACTCAAATTAGAGCTACCAAAATGTTCCACTAGGTGGCGATAGTGAAAGAAAAATTCAGTCTATATTGAAGGATTATACTATAAATTAATAATTAAACAAATTCGAATCAAGCATGTTGTATTCCGTATAATTTACCGATCAAATTTTCCTATTCCTTCTGTTCTACAGTCCACTAAACCAGAGTTTTCGTTATATGAGTACCTACGTATCGGGTTATTCAACAAACGTACAAACACGTTTGAAGCATTCATATCCAAAAGATTCTATGTATATTTTTATTCTGTAAATATAAATGAATGCAAAATTATCCAAAAAATGGGGATTCAAAGCGGTTTTGCGATATTTCTTGACATAACGGTTAAGGGGATAAACTTTATAGTTTAATGTTATCATTACTATGTAACTGCACTTACTGCTATTGTAGTGCAACCCCCAGGTGTAGGATTTAAACTTCTGTCCAATTTCAATGTTTACATATGAGTATATAAAATTCTGAATCCGCATCAATTTTCGTATTCTAACGGTGACTCACGAAACAGGTACAGTGATTCGTCGATGAATGCGACACCGGCAACGGTGATATTTTCACCATTGGGGGGGGGGGGGCTCTGGAATCAATCAAAACAAAGTAAAGAGAAGCTAAGCAGAGGTTCGGCTTCGGATTAAAAACAAATTCATGAAGGAATGTAAACGTTTCCATCTTGCTATGAATGCCCCGAAGCATACTCGTGTACGTCGCACTCATCGAGACATTACTGTAGATTTAGCCGATCAGGTGACAATGCATGCATTTCCACGTATGTTAAATCAAAATTGAACAATTCAACGTCTATTTGCCAGATGTGCTGTCACGGTATCGGGGATTCGCCATCTCTACGCAGCCACTCCGAAACCACCGACACATTTTCCAAACGTCCTTCCTCACCATCTCCACGCTGCCGTAATATCGCCTCGAGAGGACTCCGCGCCTGGAGATCGCGTCCGTGGTGGATCTGAAACATAGTCAAAGTCCAAGGATTGGCATACCGGGCTACACTCGAGGAAAAAGAGAATACACGACCGTTCTTCCCAGCATCCCTGGGCACATTTCTTGCCCCCACCCGCCACCCTGGTATCTAGGTTAATGAGGTCAGTCTGCGAAGAAAGACCCTGGATCACGTGAATTATAACCCTGTCGCTTAGCTAAATTCAAGAGACGCTGGGTCGAAACTATGATAAAAATCATGGGTCTCAGGTACGCTATCCTTGTACATTCCCCTTTCAGACGTATCGATAGCAGATTTTCTTCACCTGCTGTCACATGAACCGTTTCGTTGAATACGCAAGGTGTGTCCGTTTCAACTGGACCCTGTGGAATATCTCGTAAGGAACTGAAGGTATTGAAAGGAAAAACAATTTTTACAAAAGTTGTTTAACACTTTTTTTATGAAACTTAATAAAACCTACTCTGAAGTTGAGACTATAAAAACAGGGGTACCAGAGGGGAGTGTCTATGGACCAATATTATATTCAATATACACTACTGATGCACCAAATATTGGACATGGAGAAATCTACACATTTGCCGTTGACACAGTTATAATGGAAACTGGGGAATGTATACAACAAACGACTGGTAAATTGAAAGAAAATTTAATCAAAATCAAAAACTGGATAGACAGGAAAGTCATTAAAATCAATACCGAAAAAAGTAGCAATATATATTTCACGTTAAACAAAAAGAATGGTCCAGAAAAATGAGAATTAATAATGTAGTAATACCACAAAAAGGTGACGTAAAATATTTGGGGTTAATATTGGATAGAAAGTTTACCTGAAGCAAGCATCTAAAAGAAATGAAAACAAAATTAAATAAGTAACCAAGACCTTGTATTGGCTAATCTGAAGAAGTTCGAGGCTGAAAAGTAACTTAAAACGACAAACTTATATCTTACTAATTAAACCATTGTGGACGTATGGAATATCACTTTGGGCTACAGCATCAAAATGTAATGTGTAGAAAATTGAAACAAAACAGGCAAAGTCTTAAGGTTAATTAGAGTAGCTCCATGGCATGTCACTAACGAAGATATTAGAAAATTCTTAAATATTAATATTGTTATTAGTGAAGTACAAAAATACAGCTCAAAGCCTAAAAGTTGAATCGATGACTCAAGACCGCAAGACTCAAAAGAAAACATCCAATAGATCTTGTTACATAACAATTATATAAGCTGAATAATGTTATACCATGAACAAATTATTAACTTAAGCTTTAATATGTAATCTACTCGTGGACTTTTACGTATGATAAAAGTAATACAGTGGATTCCGGTTAATTGGGACACATTGGGACCAGACTATTTTGTCCCAATAAAGCGAATTTCAACAGATGAAATTTGAACAAGGTAAAAAATAAATCCAAAAACGATTTATTGAAAAACGTATGTAATATTCGGTGTTAAGTACAAATTTTAACAAAAAGTTATACAAGTTATAAACAAATAGCTATCGATAGAGCTGCGATCGGGGGACGTCAGGCAGCGTTCCTCGCATCACCTGTGTCATTGTGTCACGACTCGAGTATGTCAACTTGATCCCACTTTAATATGATTCAGAATTTCGGACCACTTTTTATTTCATTTATGCTGTTCTTTCGTACGTTCGAGCCGTATCTATACTTATAATCAGTGTCACTATTTCAGAACAAGCTTTACTGTATCTCCAACCGTAAATTGTACGAGCGTTAACACGTTGACTGCCAACTACGAGATAACTTGTACTTGAATCATTGCAAAGAGGCTGGATTATTTAAATACTGTTACAATACTTTTCTGTAAAATTAATATCACAGTATAATTAAAAATAAGACAATCTATCTCTATTAACTAAACGCATACATTTTCGACTATTTATGACTTAAAAAACGAAATAAAGCGTATCTGGCTACGTACGATCTTCTTCACTGTGGCGGTCAACGTGTTAACTGTCCCTATAAAACGGCGGTATGTCCCATATAAGCTAAGTGGAAACAATAGTGTTTGTTTCCGTTCTTCAGTATTTGTCCTAAATAATCGACGGTCCCGATTAACCGGCGTCCCAATTAACCGGAATCCACTGTATAAAAAAAGGCGTGGGAATGATTGGTCTGAGAATGTATGTAAATAGAAATAACGAGTGAGAATGTATGAATGCAACAAAAATGTATAAATAGTTTCTAAGTACAGACACAGTGGTCGGTCACGCGAAAACCGGGCGAAAAAACCTAAAAATGAAGATTAAAATTTCGGGTTATGAAACATCTGACAAGGTATGTACATAGATAGGTGGGGCATTAAATGGCGAGTAGTAGGGCTGTCGATTGTTTCTATCTGGGTCTATAACTTACAAGGAGTGTATTTTAGGTGTTCGCCTCCGATTGCTTTGGTTTTCGGATATGTTTTAGAGGACCGAAAAATAAGAGATACGTATTTTTTTATAGCGGCCCGTTTTCATATTTAGGGGGTGAAACCACCCCTCAAAGTTTCGACCCGGAAGTACTATCTCGAAAACCAGAGGAGATACATGAAAACTTCTAATGGACGAGGTCTGCGGTTTTTTATGTAGAATAATATGGTGCTAACAAATTGTCCAAAATATAATTTGTTTATAACAACAAAATTTCAGATAGAAATTTCGAGTGGTGGTTTCACCCCTTGAAGTCGCGTCTCAGTCGATAAAAAAAATACGTGTCCTTTATTTTTGACTGCTTAACAGACATACGAAGTTTCATGAAAATCGAAGGGGGACACTTCCGTGCCTTCCCTTGTGAGATATACACGTAGTTTCCTCCAAAAAGGTTCTCAAAATGATATTTTTTTGTTATAAACAAATTGTATTTTTGACAATTTGTTAACACCAGTTTATTGTACATAAAAAAACCATAAAAGCCACCAATTGAAAGTTTTCATGTATCTCCTCTGGTTTTCGAGATAGTACTTCCGGGTCGAAACTTTGAGGGGTGGTTTCACCCCATAAATATGAAAACGGGCCGATTTTTTCGGTCCTCTAAAACATATCCGAAAATCAAAGTAATCGGAGGCGGACACCTAAAATACACTCCTTGTAGTGCAAAAGTGACCGCATTTGTGTTTAATAAAGTGTTATATACATGTCTCTTGTTTACATTTCTTATGTTCGATGAACAGTATACAAGTAGTTTTCTGGATACCCAACATCCCACCACACACCAATCAGTGTCAACCACGCATCCAATATCGTATTAAACACAAGTCACACATGATTCCTGGGGCGATTTGAAATAACTTGTTTCTTAGCGAAACAGTTCTCCGAGGCTTTTTTTACGAAATACGTCCCTCCTTAATAACGAGACCTGATGCCAAACAACTTTTGTGAGAATATTTTTTTTCATCGAGATATATCTGCGTTTCCAATTAAAAGAAACCTACTGTAGATATTTGTAAGCTAATTTTAAGGAACTGCAAAGGAACGGAAATTCATTTACTTAATGTAATGATCTATCAGGTACCGAATGGAATAAAAACGTCATTAAACTTTATCAAACTGGTACAATGGATGATCGAATTATTAGAATCACCTGCATAAATTGACGATTTTACGATGTTAACTCTATTTTTTATAATTGCTTGAGTTAAGTTCAATTTTTTTGTTTATTCTTAGTAGAAAATCCTTAATTAATAATTATCTAGTATAAAATACTTGATACTGTGATTTTATTTCTACATAAACACAAAAGAAAACATATTGTTCGTACTGTGGCTCTATGATTTATTGATTACCCACGGTAAGTATGGGTCTTATACACACACGATGTCTGGGATTTTGCTCCAATTGAACTATGTAATATTACAAATGAAAATAGTGAGGGGTTAAGTCAACATTTTGCTAGTTTCGAAATTGTTTAAAAAATACAGATTCTTAAAGTTGACAATTTTGATCGATTTTTACGAAAACTACCACCACAAAATAATTTGTATCTCCGCAACTATTAAAGACTACTTGCTTCTTCTTTGATTTTGATCGTAAAGGATTGTTCTTTGTAACTAATTTTGTGTTTTATACGTAAAGTTATTACGAATATTAAAAATGTTCACTATTAAATTATATACATAAATTGCATTTTACTTAAAGTCTTAAATGGGTAGATAAATTCTGTGGCCAGATTTGAATTCCGTCTGTCAAAGATTACGGAAAGTGATGTATAACAAGTCAAGGAGAAAATTCAACCACACATTATAACGGAAAAATCGCAATTTTCTTCGAAAATTTCAAGTTTAACACAGATTCCAAGGTTAAAACTTGTTTGTCATACTTCTTTTATATTTTTTAATATAAAAGGTCCATACCTCTAACTTGTTTCTATTAGAAGTTCTACGATTTTCACCCAAAAATGAGCAATTTGTTCCACTGTGTGCCCTAGCGGAAGAACGGGAATAAAACTTTCGTGGAAAATAATTCTTTTAAAAATTCGTTGTCAGCAATGGTCTTTGAGGACGATAAAATCTTTCATTAAAAACATTTTCATACATTCAACAGTTATAGTTGCATATGAACGAAAAGGGTGGTCTCGACAAAAAGGGTGGATTTATTATTACTTCAAATGAATTCAAACTATTACTTCAAATGAATCGATAATATTTTTATTTTCTAATAACAGCATTGAAAATAAAGTTCCGAAATAAATTATTTCAAGTAATTATTTCTTATTTTAATTTCAAATAAAATTTGCCCAAGTCTGGAAAGCATCAATAGTATGAGTTACTAGATATGTATTTCAGATATTTAAAAGTATAGAAAACATCGCTCGACTCCCCTCTCTCCCAGCCTGAATTGATGTACTTATACATATAAGCATATCCAGATATACTGATAATACAGGTATTCCTTGAATAACGACCTCCTCGATTTACATTTTGCACTTGTGACCGTAAAAAGATAATTCTTTTGGAACGATGATTAAAATAGACATTTTTAATTTAAATGTAATATATAG